CCCCCCCTCTCTCTCTCTCTCTCTCTCTCTCTCTCTCTCTCTCTCTCTCTCTCTCTCTCTCTCGGATCGCTTCCGATCACTTTTTCTCGAAAGGGAAAATTTCAGTAGAAAAAATTGGCAAAAACTCGTTCGCGTGCGTTCTCGTTCTATTCCAACAAGTTATTCTCGTTTTAAATCGTTCCCTCCACAAATTCTACATACGCGTTCCCCTCGTTTCATTTTCTCTACCACACGACACAATCACTCGGTACAAACAGCTAAGCGATTCCTCTCGTTTACGCTCTAATTATTTACCGCATTAATACTATTTTGGCATCGAGACGATACAATTTTTCCGCATACTCTCTCGCATTCCTCTATACAATACAACAGCAACGACGACGACGACAACAACCATGTTGCCGATTTCCCTTACAATCCGTTCTTTGTTCCGCCTTCGTCGATTTTAACTGGAAGTTCGTTCGATCGGTCCGTCGCGCGATTCTCGCGGCTATTATTTACGCGTTTCTCTCTTTCTCTTCTTTAGGTACGCCGAATCTCGCGAGAATCACGCGACGAGTTCGTTCTTTCTTTCTTTTTTTTTTCTCATCGGTATTTTCACACATGCATTATCACGCACGCAACTGAGCATCGTTCCGGAAGTCGACGAGAGATAAAACCATACCTGTGCGCGCCCTTACGTGGATCACAGTGGATCACGATCGAGGAAAGAAACGTGTGCGAAATGTGCAAAAGGAACACGATCTCCTACTCCTCCGCTCGCGATCGCTCTGAACGATATTTTCCAACGTGTAAATCCTTCCATTTCTCGTCCCTATCCTTCACTTTTCCTTCTTAGCTTTAACATTCCTCTAGATTGAAATACCAAATTCACCAGATAAGAGACAAATAGTACGGTAGAGTTTGTTTTCAACGATCGATTCTCGTTTAAAACGACAACTGGCAGATAAAGATCGAGAGGATATAAAATGGATCGTGTAGAATCTTGATTCTGATTCGATTCTCAACGATCGATCATAGTGTAAAAGGATCATTGATAAATAAAAATCGAGAGGATATATACATTTATAATAGATCACGTAGAAATTTCATTCAGATTAAATTCATTAAATTTCAAATATTACACGTGTATAAATCTAACATTTCTTCGTTTCTCATCTTCGTTCATCTTTTCTTCTCGTTCGTGTTATTCTATTACGTTGAATTCGTTACATCGAATGTTTCCGTTAAATTCGAATCGTACGTTGAGCGTTTGAAAGCGACGGAGAGAGAATCGTCTCCGCGAGAATGTCGCGTCACTTCAGCTTGGACCGGAAGTGATCGCTGAAGTACGCTTCGCGAGAGAGGAACAGCGCGATTTCTCGTCGCTGGCAAGAGTCGTTCGTAAGAAACAGGAAGAGTGTCGCGATCGAAACTTGTTTGCTTGCAAGAAGAAAGAAATGGATGACGAACCTAGTTTATTACGTTTTTCTTCGTCTTTTTTACTTTTTTTTTTGTGTTTTTTTTTTCTTTTTTAGAACGATCTTTTAAACGGTTAAAAAAATAGAAACGTGTTTCTGCGGTTTCAGCGTGAAAATTTTATTATCATACGTTCTATCATTTTTTCCTTTCTTTCATTCTTTCGAGATTCTTTTAATTGACTGGCCGAGATCGGATTCTCGTTCGTGGGGGAACGTAATTCGAAAAACGGTGCTCGTCGAATCGAAAAATAGTCTCTGACTGACGATCGCTCGTCGAATCTTTTTTTTATTACTCCTTTCTCCTCCGCAGTTTTAGAACCTAGGGACGACGCCGGAGTCGCGCGTATAAAAGAGAAAAAAACGGAGGAACGATCACGCTCTTAGCGAATAATAAAAAGTTCGTCGTACGGTGAAAGCGAAAAAAGGTTAAAACGAGAAACGAACAAACACGTATAGAAATGACGACTAGCGTTTAAAAAGGCGCGCGAAGTTTGCCGTCGCGCTCCTGCGAAACAATTTCTTTCCTTTCTTCACGGAGAAGATAAAGAAAGAAAAGGAGCGAATAAAAGCGATGAAGGAAATTTTTAATCGAGAGATAAGAAAAAAAAAAAGAACGAGAAGAGCAACGGCACAAAATGCTGAAGGCTCGGTGTGCCCGGCCCTTCGGTGTTCGATCGACGAGATCGACGAGATAAAAGAACGAGGAAGAAAGACAAGTAAAAGAAAGTCAGATAGAAAAGCAAAGAGAGAGAAAAAAAAAAGAGAAAAAAAGAACGAATAAAAATAAAAATAAAACAACGCGTCTCATCCAAAACTTAATTAATAAATAATCGATTAAATTAGATTATATTACTAATTATTACTTGTTTGCCGCTAATAATTATTATTACTACTACATTATGATAATAATGAATGATAATATATTAATGATTCTTATAATACTCCGATGGGCGAGGGTTGGACGCGTCTTTCTTTTTTTTTTTTCTTCTTCTTCTTCTCACCTCCCTTCTGCCGATATACACATATAGGGATATATATGTATCGCCTGTGTCGAATATACTCATGGATCCATCGACCTCGAACAACCACGATTTCCTTCTTCCCCCCTCCCCCCTTTCTTCGATCCATCTCGATCCCCTTTTCACTCCCACGCGCGCGATTCGTGAGAATCGAGCTTTCGGTTCGGTGATTCGTCTACCGGCTCTACCTTGCGTGGTCGTGCGTCGAAACATCGAAAGGGAAAACCTCGATAAGAGACGAGAAACGATCTCGTCGTTGATTTTCGCAAGTGAAACAAATCATCTTGTTGATCCGTTTGTCATCGTCGTAGTAGTGTATATATATATATCGAGCTAAATAATCTCTCACTCGATCATATGTATCCGATAGAACGAACTTTCTGAAAAGAAAGATCTATCTATCCTCTGTCTTCACCTTCCGTTTATTCGATAACACGACACCGCGCGTCAATTTCTTTTTTTTTTTTTTTTTTTTTTTTATCAAATTACTCATAATATCTCTCCAACACCGTTCTCCTATTTTCTTCACACACGTTCTACGGATTTGTCTAATTACACGAAGAACGATCGAAAACGACACGATCGAAGGAGAAAATTAACGGAGAGGATGTCGATTCTAGCCCGGAGGGTGGCGACGGACGTTTCCGGATTTATGTACAGAAGAAAAACCGAAAAGAAAACAAAACGGGGATCGGTTCGAACACGACGCGTACGATTTAACACAGTTACTCTCTCAGATATTCGTTCGCCTTTCTTTGCTTTCTTTTTTTTTTTTTGTTCTTTTTTCTATTTTCTTTTCTTTTTTTTCTTCTCTCTTTTGGCTGTTTGACTCGCCCTCGAACACTGGCACTTGTTAACGTCGAACCATCGCCACTGGGGCTTGGCTTACCCGCGAAATTCTACGCGAATGATCTATCTGTGTGTGTGCGCGCGCGCGCCATCCTCGCTCGAGAAGTTCGCGCCTCTCGAAAGGCTCGAGAACGTATCGGGGTATTTCCCCGTGATCGAGGATCACGATTAATAGACTCTAAAGGGCTTGAAATATGGAAAGAAAAGAGAACAATGATAATAGTCGGAAGAACGTAGCTGACGAAGAAGACGGCACCACGACACGATTGACGCGTATACCCCCCTAACTCGCTCACGTGATCGATCAATCGATCGATCTTTTCTTTTTCTTTCGGAAATTCACGAATTCTCGCGTGCTGGCGTGAGTGTGTGTGTATGTGTGTGTGTGTTCGTGGGGGTGTGTTTTGTACTGAATCGACTCGAGAAATTATCGATCTATAATTATTACACGGTAGAAAAAGATCGAATCGCGCGTACATGTTGTCCGCCGTTCTCCGTTTCATCGTTCCTGTTCGAAGCATCCTCTAACAGAAGTTGTGACAAAAAGGGAATTATAATAATAAGAGCTACGGGGGTGGGGTGCAAACACGTGCAAGGGTGATATTTACGAAATAAATTACGATGATGATTTGCAACAAGCGCAATGTACAATTGGCGAAGAAAAGAAGATGGACAGAGATAGCGTGTATGTATACATACACGAGAAAAGAGAGAGAAGAGATAGACAGACAGAAAGAAGAAGAGAGAAAAGAAAAAGATTAAACGTCAATATTTACCGTTTAATTAATTAGCTTAAAAACTTGAGATCATTTTTCTGGTTTGTATATATATGTATATACGCGTTGTGTAAACGTGTCACGTGTGTGTACATGTGTAATATGTATTTCGCGTGGGTGCTCCATTTTTCCAAAACAGAGCTACCCCAGACATGATTGTGCAGACGACTTTCACGAAGGATCGATTCGAAACTATATAAAAAACGCTACACTCTCGAGGGCTTTTCGATTGGATGGGGCGGGTTTAAAAAACCTATTGTACGATCGCGTCGACTAATCATAACGGACGATTTGGGCCTGTACGATGCGCGTGTGCGATCATGTAACAACAACAACAACACGGGGATGGTACATGGCATGTTTTACGAAAAGAAAAAAGAGAGAAAAAAAGAGAGAGAGAGAGAGAGAGAGAGAGAGAGAGAGAGAGAGAGAGAGAGAAAGAGAGAGGGAAAGATAGGGAGAGAGTTTGTGTGTATTTGTGTGTGTTAGGAAAAATAAACGCGGCGGATCGGACTCGATTCGATATACGAGAAAAAGCTCGATCCGGCTTTGTACAATAAAAGGATCGTACCGAGGCGCTCGCGTGTATTACGGCGTAAATATGCTCGCCATTTTCTGTTTATCGAAACGTTGCGAAAAAAAAAAAAAGAAACATCCTTGTCTAGGCTTGGACTAGCTAAACACAATTTTACGACTCTCTTCTGACGGAACGCGAGACCGTTTAAAAAAAAAAAAACGAGAAATGTACAGTCGTTATCTTTTTTTTCTTTCTTGACTTTTTTTTCTTCTTCTAACTTTACTTTCCATTCATTCCATTCTAAACTGTATGTATATATATATATATGTAATCAATTATATATCAAAGTCATTTCTGCACGATTAGAGAGACTATAGCTGATGGCTACGATCTTCTGTTGCGATGGCGATGATGATGATGATGATGATGATGATGATGATGATGATGATGATGATGGTGATGATGGTGGTGTTGTTGTTGTTTTAATCCAGGTTTACCGTGAAAAATCAGCCTCGACTCGCGATCCTCAGTGTTTTTTTTCTTTTTTTGTAGCGCGCGACACATGTCTCTCTCTTGCCGTACAGCTGCCTCGAACAGTTTCTCTATTCCAGGGATGAGAGATCTCTCCTCGATATCCATCCTACCGTGTGTGTGATTCGTGTAAAAAAGATCGATATAAAAAGGGAAGCCCCGATTAGAATTGAATCCCGCGACGTGTATCATCTCCGCGCTTCTCGAACCTGTCTCTCCATCCTCTGTACTTCTCCTCTTCCTGTCCCCTATCTTCTCCTTTTCCCCCCGGCCCTTGTCTTTTGTTTTACGTTACTGTAGTTTTTCTTTTTCCCCCGATAAAACGTTGTAATAGAAAAATGGCAGTGCAAACGTGTGTTGTTTTCTTCTTTTCTTCTTCTTTTTCTTCTTCTTCTTCTTCTTCTTCTTCTTCTTCTTCTTCTTCTTCTTCTTTTTCTTCTCTTCCCCCTTTCGGCTTTTAGCCGTCAGTTGAATCTAGGACGACGATGATAGTAGAAGTACGATATAGATATCTTGTTTGTTTTTTTTTTTATCGCTTTTGATCCCTTTCTCGACGTTGACCTCGGCGTGTCTCTTCCTCCACTTGTCCCCGCGAGATTCCACTTTTTTCTCCATTAGTCGAATCTGATCGGGAAAACACGTTGAACCAGTTGTTCACACGTGCGTCTATATTCGATCCCATTTGTTGCGATCAGACCGACGAGATCGCTCGATCGACACCTGGCACGGTTCTTGGTCATCGATGGCTGGAACCGTAACCCCCGACGATTACTCATCCAATGGCTCCTCCCTCTTGGTACGGACCAGTTATCATACACGGATGCATGGGGAATAGAGTGGTCCAGGTCATCGTAGTGTAGGTAGGCGATCTCATCATAAACTGAGAGCTAGGCACGCTGGGTATATGAGGGAGAGGCGTTGGTTTTTCGCTAGTAGTCACGCTGGCAGGACTGGTTGGTGTCGATGGAGTGGATAGTGGTTGTGACGTGGTTGACGAACTGGTTGTCGTGGTACTGGCAGCCGCGACACCTAGCTTCCTGAGACGCATTTTCTCCTCCCATTCGTCCCAACCGTGTCTCGGTCTGTTCAAGTTACGATGTTGATAGAACACCAAGCTTATCCTCGTTGGATTGAGACGATTAGGCTTCTTCAGAGCCGTGGTAGCGTGCATTTCGTGCTTGGCACATTCGAATAGCACACTGCCGTGGCTCAGAGCTATGGCTACACCTCCCATTTGCGAATCCTTGAAGCACTCTTCGTTGTCAGAGTAGTCGGCTACTTCTCCTAGAGGTTCTGCCTTTGGCGGTGGTTCTGGTAGCACTGGAAAGTACGGAGGTGGCCCATAGATGTCCCATCTAGGAGTGTCCCACCTGGCCCAGCCTGGGTTCAGGCCCTGATAGGGGGGCACTCCTTGATAGGGGTATTGGGGCGAAGGGAAGCAGGCTTCTCTCTTTGGTTGCTGATAGAATTGTGGCGGATATTCTGGTGTTTGAGGATGAGGATAGGGTTGATGGTAGTTGTATCCTTCCCAGGAATTAGAGTACGGTTTGTCGAAGACTGGGTAGGTTGGATACAGTCCATATTGTGGGAAGGAAGCGTGAGGATGACCCAAGCCTGGCATAGTTGGATGGAAGTCTTGCACTTGCTTCATCTCCTCCGCCCACGGGAAGCAATTAGAGTTTGGATTCGCTACGTTCTGCCTGGAATCGTGGAATCCCTCCTTGGTCTTTTCATCTGGCCAATCTGGTCTTCGTTGGTTGCCCGGGTGAGTCGTTACAGTGTTCTGTAGTGAGATGTTACTCGGACTGTCCGCGTATACGCCGCTCCGTACTGGTTCCTGAGGCTTGAGGAACGTCCTATTGGAAGAATTTTGATATGTATTGTCTGTGTTTGGATTTTGGCTCGATGCTGTTCTCGACGGTGGTCTGCCCTTCGGTACCCTGAACGGAGAAGGGTCCGACGACGGTGTCTCCCAGCAGGGTGGTTTCGATTGATCCGGATGTGGTATCCTTTCGTTCCAACTGTAGTGTTTCTGATGGTCCATAGGTTGTTGATGGTTCCTTTCTGGACCAATTTGATTGTTGTACGCTTGCTGCTGATCGTATGGCTTGTTCTGTTCGGGATACCAAGAACCGAGCATGTTCCAGCCTCCCACTTGATCTGAAGGCGCTGGGGACATCTGATTGATACCTGGAGTCTTTTGTTCAGGGACCTTGTGCATTCGATACTTTCTCTGATCCATCGGTCCCAAACTCTGAGCACCGTTAGGTGGATTACCTGGAGGAAGATGCGACGAGCTGTGAAGCAGTAATTCTGGATTCGTGGCACCGAATGTCTTGTGACTAGCGTTGTCCATGCAAGAGGATACCGACAGGCCAGAGAACATGTCCGGGTTAGAGTCGTGCTGACCCTGGTAAGGGATATTTCTACCTGTTTGATGAGGGGGATGATAGTGGCCTTGTATCCTGTTCACGAACGGCTGCTCGATCTGCGACTTCTGAGCCTCTAAGTAGTTCTGTGTGCTAGGGTACTTTTGCTGACTAGAATCTTGCGCAGGCTTCGAGAACGACAATTTCGACTGGTCGCAGCTTTGGCCGACGTTTCGAAGGTTATTGGCGTTGTGGGGCTGATGATGATGATAGTTCGATCGATTCAGAGCGCTTCTCTGGTCCAGATGGGTTGGAAAATTGGTGCAGGTTGTCTTTGGGGACATATTACCTTGCCTGGTGTCGTACATGTTCGGATAGTTTCTGGAAGTTGGAAGTGGATGACTGTATCCAGTGTCTGGATACCCTGAGCTTCTAGGTGAAGCGATTTTCTGATCTTGAGGTGTCTGTGGGCAGCCTCTCGGAGACAAAGCGTACGCTACATCACCAGGAGTTCCCGTGTGAGAGCTTCTTGGTGAAATAGGATGAGCTCTTGGCGAATGTGGATAACAGCTCCTTGGTGAATCCATCGTTGAATTGGGCAAATTTCTGGAACCGGGTCTGTGTTCTTCCTGAGAAACGGTGCTTCTAGGCCTGATATCGTCTAAACTTGTACTATCCGGATCAACTTTAGCGTCCCTGTCCAGACCACCGAACGAGTACTCCCTCCAAGGGTTCAGCCAGTTGTTTTTCCGCTGATCGAGCCAACCATTCCTGCCCCATTGCTGTTCGTTCTGGTAACCCCAACCCTGATACATGGACACTGGACTATCTAAGACAGTAGAGGACACCTGAGAGCTCTGTAATTGCGCGTCCATCCCCTCAAACATGGATGCCATTTCTAGGGACAGTTGGGAGTCCCTCATTTGAGGTCTTGCTAGATCTTGGTGTCCTGGCACGCGACTTGGCTCCGTCATCTTCTCATTCGCGTTCTTGGAACCATCTTTTTTGTTACTCAACGTGTCTGGTTCGTCTTCTTTCCTCTTTTTCCCGTGTCTTCTGCAGGGCTGGAGCGGAACCGATCGAACTCTCACTTCACAGGGATATCTGTTGATCAAACGATACATGTTTGAGTAACATTCCTCGATAGAGGAATTATTGGATACAGCAGATGAAACTGGAGCATTGGCTTACTTTGACAGAACTTCTACAGCTCCAGCGCGAACCTTCTCGTCCTGTCCCTCCTTTGAACCATACTCATCCGTGGTGTCCATGATGTACAGGGGAAGTACGTGCAGCTGTTCGTCTTCAGGTTTAGATAGAGTCCTATGTTTCGTCATGGTGACCACCTGGTGAACATAGGATGAACATAGGTATAATTTCTTCGTTTAATTTCTCAGTTAGAAGCAGGAAATTGCCGATGGATATTTTACGACACTGACCACTGTGCATCCGTTGTTCATGTTGTGAAGATCGCGATGGGAATGCGCGCAAAAATCGATGCAGGCTGTAACACCTGAGAATGGTCGGCCAGGCTTGAATCCCAGACGGCACTCGCTCGCTTCCCGCTCGAACTGTGTCTGGTTGTTGAATGCTTCCGGTGCAAGGCTAAGGTACAGAGGCGACAACAGTGTTGCTAGGACGTGCATTCTTTCTTCGACTTCTTGCTCCTGTGATCCATAAGAAAGCGCGTTGACGGCACTCGCTCGCTTCCCGCTCGAACTGTGTCTGGTTGTTGAATGCTTCCGGTGCAAGGCTGAGGTACAGAGGCGACAACAGTGTTGCTAGGACGTGCATTCTTTCTTCGACTTCTTGCTCCTGTGATCCATAAGAAAAATCATACCATATCGGCTCCACTGACCGTACATTTTTGAATAGCAATTTCAACGCAAACCAACAAATTTAATTAAAAATAAATTACATATACACACGATGTCTCACCTCTGATCGAACTGATAATCGAAATTTACGGACGGTTTTGCTTCTGGCGTATTTGCAACCATTATAATACATGGACCAGGAACATCCAAAGGAAAAGCTTGCACCGCAAGTGTCGGGATCGAGGCCTTGGCAGGCACATGTTCTCGGCTCGTTCGTGCCGCACCGTCTGGTTGTTGGTAGACCAAAACGATTCAATTTGTGACTCAATAGAGAGTAGATCCTATCAGCTTCGTGTGTCGGCACTCCTTCCCACGCGACCATTGCTACCACGATCCAGGCTGTCGGGCATTTGTGCCCTTGTCGATGTTTCACTATGGTCAGGATCTTCTCCTCCAGACCAGATCGCCGTATTATCTAGCGAATCACTGATATTACAATCCCATCACCATGGTAGTACAGAGAAATCTCTTCAATTCGACGATTCAAAGGGATCACACAGAGAAAACACAGAGAGACAGAGAGATGATTTACTTTGCTTTGACTTGAATGAAAAAAGAAAAGAAGAACAATTCAGTCAAGAGAATTTACTTACCCACTTGGCCATCGGACATCCCTGTGTTGTTTTCCCCTCCTTTCCAGTGTAGATCACCTTTTCCAATCTAATGGCGTTTCCCTTAAGGCCGGTTCTTCGTTCAAGATCGTTCCGTAGGTCAGGCAAGCTTGCAGCCGCCCCGAGATGAGTGTAGTACGAGCCGGGCTCTGGCGGACCTTGTGGTTGAACCTCATTTTACTTACGAAACTGGACGTTTCAACGGAAAGGAAGCAACAGAAGCGGAAACATTTATGCCACGTATGTAGTAGGTATGCCCCCTGGGAAAGGGGGGTAAGTTAGGTACACGTGCATTCTTCTTTGGGTCACTGAATTCAAGGCGCATAGTACTGGTATCATGGTGTATATATTTTGTCTGGCCGATTGTATTAGTAGTAGTAGCAGTAATAGTAGTAGTAGTAGCAGTAGTAGTAGTGATGGTGGTAGTAGTAGTAGTACGGTTTTATTTATTTTTCTTTACGAGTATTACTCATTCTTTGTTTTTTGGTTTTGTAAACAAGTACATACATACGTATATATACATACATATATACATATACACATATATATATACATACAGTCGTATTGGTTAGTGTGTTCTCTCAATGTTAGTGTCGTGCTAAATTACACAATAGCAACTCACATTTGTCGGCTGGGAAGCAGTTGCAGTCCGGCACTTCGCTCCTCACATTGTTCTTCAGTTTGTCCAAGTGATCTTGTAACTTTGTTGTCGTTGTCGTGGTAGACGTGCTACGCGGACTCTGTGGACTCTCGTTCTTCACGGACTCTGTCTTCTCCGCGGCGTCGGCGAGTATCTCGTCTCGCGTTTGTAAACCCTGACAGCAACCCTCGCGCAGATGTTCGGGCGTGGGTTGCTCGGTTCCACCGCGTCTACAGCACCAGGAACCGACGCCTGGCGACACTTTCGCGGGTCCACCGTCGCCGCGGAACATGTAATCGTTGCATTCTTGCGATCTTTGGTCGGGCTCGCTCTTGATCTCCTTCGTAGGGGAGGTGTCGCTCTTGGAAGAGGCTGCGGGCGATGGTACGCATTCCGAGCTCGAACAACCGTATTCGGTCACGTTCTCTTGTTTGATCGTGCAAGGTGTATCGCAGTTGGAGCTGTTCACAGGCTCTGTTGTTGGTTTCTCGCTGCTCTCTGGATAACTTGGTGCCTCGTTCTCCACCAGTGTGACCTGCGGTCCCTCTGGATAGGTAACGCCGTTCTCCGATTCGCTCTTCTCGTTGTCCGTGCTGCTGCGACACTGTTGGAACGTTCTTCTCTCGTCGCTCTGTTCTATGCATAATCTCCTCTGAAAGGATTTGTCGTCCATGTTCTGATTGTCTGGCTGGCTCTCTTCCTTCCATAACTGGTGTTCGTTCTGTTGTTGATGATACTGAGACTGTTGTTGCGATTGTTGCTGCTTCTCACAGGGCTTCTCTAATATAGTCTTGTCCTCCGAACCAAACTTGATGAAACTCTCGATGACGGTCATACCGTTCTCTGATAGCGCGCTACCGTTGTTCAATGTACCATTACCTCCCCCTGACCATTCCCATAAGCCACCACCATCGGGCAAACTATCGACCCGAGGGTGGTGGCTATGCAATAAAAAATTACCGGTCAAGGATTCGTTGGATTGCGCCATCGAGATGATGTTCGACTGGTTCAAATACTGGTCCGCCTGTTTCTCTTGCAGTTTTTCCGAATTCTCATGTGCTTCTCGTATCCGATCCTCGGTGTGATACTCCCCGTTAGCTCCGCTGTTGCTGTTCACATGCTGAGACTGCATCTGATGGTGTAAATTATGATGCTGCTGCTCCTGATGGCTCATCTGGTGCTGCTGAGACTGCTGCTGCTGCTGCTGGAGTTGCTGATGCTGCATTTGTTGCTGCTGCTGTTGCTGCTGCTGCTGCTGTTGCTGTTTGTTCAGGATCATCGACTTCAGTCGACTGTTCAGGTTCACGCGGTTAGATTGAGCAAATACGTTACTCTCCTGAGCGTTCTGCATGTCCTGTTTCGTCGCCTGTTGGCCCCATGTAGGCTGATTCTCGGCCACCGAGTTCGGCGACCAAGACATTTGGCTCTCCATTTTATTCTCCTGCGTGGGTGGCTGAGGTTGCCACGCGCCTGGCTGATGGCCAGGCGTTCTCCTCGGACTAGGCTGCGAGTCTGGCCATTGTTGTTGCGGTTGCTGACTACTGTCGCTCTTTATACTGTTCGGCGACCAATTCGGTTGACTAGTTGGCGTATCCGGCCAGGACATCTGGTTGGAAGGCGTTAGCCTTGGACTCTTTTCAAGCTTCGTCTGTTGCGACCATTGTTGCTGCTGCTGCTGCTGCTGCTGCTGCTGTTGTTGTTGCGACTGTTGCTGCTGCATCTGTTGGCCAGACGGTGTCAGCCTTGGGTTCTGTTGGCTCGAGTTCTGCTGCATCTCTGGGCTACTCTGTTGCCAATTGTGCTGGCCAGACGGCGTCATCCTGTGCGACGGATTCTGTTGCTGATGGTCGGACAACTTGGGCGAGTGCTGCAACCAGGCCTGATGCTGGGCCTGTTGTTGCTGTTGCTGCTGACTAGACGGTGTCAATCTTGGATTCTGCGCGTCCCTCAGCTTCGGGCTCTGCCTAGACCAGTTTCCCTGAGTTTGTTGTTGCTGCTGCTGCTGTTGTTGTTGTTGCTGCTGTTGACTGTTGTCAGTATTGTCTGTCCATGATTGAGGAGTTTGCGGAGTTTCCTTCACGCTACCGTTCTCCCAACTCATGTGACTGGCTGGCCTGGGTAGCTCTTGCTGTCCCTGCATCTGCATACTTTGTTGCTGTTCTTGCGCCTTCATGCTGTTACTCTGCATACCCGGTTGCTGCTGCTGCTGAGACGGTTTCTGTTGCTGTTGTTGTTGGTGTTGTTGTTGTTGCTGTAACGTACCGTCTGACCAGTTCATACTGTTGTTCATCTTTGTATTGGTACTAGTGTCAGACCACAGGTGTCGTTGACCACCGTCAGACTGCACCGAGTGTTGGCGTTGCATATGCTGCTGTTGCTGGTGCGACTGTTGTTGAGTAGCCACCTGCTGCTGCTGCCATTGGTTCTGCACTTGTTGCTGACCCATTTCCACGTAGCCTGGATATCCGTTAGAGTTGTGTAAACTCTGTGGGCCCGGTTGAAGTGGATACCCAGGCATCTCGTTTCCCGACACGTTGCTGGCTGCGATCGTCGCGAATCCTTTCACCTGGGTGTCGGTCTGCGCTGGCTGCGGCTGCTGCGACGGCTGCTGCTGCGAGGCTTGTTGCTGCTGCTGCGTGTCCATGTGCACCGAGCTGCTACGGCTCGTCGGGGTAGTTGAAGGCGGCGGGGCCATCGTCACGTCCTGTGGAAAAAGGTAGATTCCATCTATAACTTAAAAATATTCGTGGAAGAAGGTTATCGATTGCGGGGATAATTTAGTTAAATTTATGAATTTTTTTTTTTTTTTTCGTTTTATATAGTTTCTTTTACCGGTAACCCTTGTATAATACGTGCGTTGTTCGAGAAGAGAATTTTCATTTGAACTCGCGTTACTTATGTACGGTAGAAGTATAAAGTAAGAGAAAAAACGAGGTACATCGTATCTATTTTCGTGTTATACGAGGGTTACGTGTGATCCGACCAATTTCCAATTTTTTCTTCTTCTGTTCAAGCTATACTATATTGTGCACAGCGAGAAATATTTCTCCTATTTTTTTTTTCAAGCGAATTCTACAGTGGAATATGTTTTTTTCTCCAAAAAAACGACTCGTATCTTGTTGACTTTTAGGGAGAGGCATACGATAACGTGGATACTTCTAATTAAAACCGATTCATTTCTAATTGTACCTGCTGTTGGTAACCATTGACGTAATCCTGCCTTTCATAACCAACTGATTGGGTTGCAGTAGCAGCGGGATCCATGAATTGACCGTTTAGTGGCCTCTGAGCTGTCGATGGTACCGTTTGTGGGGCGACCGGTGGCAAGGGCGAGGGTTGCCCCGTGATTGTGTATTGTCCTGTCGCCCCGGCTCGTTGAAACGCCGACTGATCCGTGGTAATGAAAGTCTGCTGCTGATATGCGACTGTAATCAGAAAATTCGCGTGCTGATTCCACGGAAACGTCGGACAAAGAACCCTGCATAGTTGCACACTTTGCATTCCACGATCGTTCTCTACGAGAACATTCCGTGTCGCGTATATGTTCGAAATTAATTCACGAACCGTGAATTATAAAACGAACAATTTTTTTTTTCCTACTTTTTTCCAATTTCAATTTCTTTCAAATATTTAACGTGACGTGTTCTCTCTTTTTCTTCTTTTTCAGCGGAATTGTAAAATTTGTGAAATATCACGTGCTCGAACGTAACGTGAAGGAGAAAGAGAGATAGAGATAGAGAGAGGATAGAGTGGAATTGAGAAAATCGATTCGTCGTTCAATTACCTGGCTGTGGATGGTACGGCGCTGCTGCGGTGTATTGGGTATGATACCTCAGCTCCTCGAGCTGATTCGGAGCAGGAATTTGTTGAATGAACTGCTGAGGTGGCCATGGTGCTGCTGACGTTTCAACCGCGACTGCTCCCACAGGAGCAACTCCCTGGTGCCAAACAGTATTCCCGAAGCCAGCTGCTGGCCGGAAACCGGCGCCAGAATCGCCGTAGAACGGCATCACACCCGGTGACTGCACAGAAAACGTCTAGGTTAACTTTATTTTTCTCCGGAAATTTTCCAATAGTTGCAATTTATTCCGACACGTTCTCCAAATTCAACGGAAAAATTGTATCGACGATTCTTCGAATATGAACGATCATATTTTCTTGTTTCTTGGACTTGTTTCTTGTTACGACGGACTTGAAAAAATTTGAAAATACTGGCTAATTGGAAAATCAAAGAGAGCTGGCAAATTATTATTAATTCTTCGGTGAATGATTAGAATCGTGAGATATATAAAAATCGACGGAGAAAGGTTTGAAAATATCGATTAATTGGAAAATTAAGATGGACAGTCGACGAGGAGACGTTTTGTCAGTAATTATCACAAAGTGAGAGATAACGTTTTCTCGTTTCCACTTTATTATTAATTCTTCGCTGGAAGTGTAGAATCGAGGAAAAATATAAAAATCACCGGGGAAAGGGTTTAGAAAATATCGACTAATTTGTAAATTAAAAGGGTTGACAGCCACTGTGGGTAACATGGCGGAGGGGAATAGCCATTCGTCAGCGATGGTTCTTTAACTATGCACGAGTCAGCGGTTCTCAACGTTCGCCGAACATCGAACACGAATCCTACCGAACGCAAGAGAGCAACTACGATTCGACCAACTTCTCTCTGAAACGTGTGCACACGTTCACGACCCAATTAAATAAAGAACTCGAACCGGAGAGCGTTAATAAAGCCATTAATCATTGTGAGAGGTGGCCTCATC